AGAGCAAAGTCCGGAATGGAGGACAGAAGCGTCTTCCTCTTGGTACTCTTGCTGCTCGTCTGTCTGGCAACGCAAACTTTATCAGGTAAGACACTTCTTTCAGTTTCATTGTATTGCAAGCGCCTGACGAAGTACTGGTGACAGTAACAAAGACCTTGAACTGCTACAAACATTGGAGTGAGTTATTTAGCTTAGCAATTTCCTGCAGTTGCTAATGGAAAAAGAATTATCAGTAAAAATTGAAGCATATCTTTTGAAAAAAAAAAATGAACATTTCTTCTATGAAGCTGTATAAGGCACTGTATGAAGCTTGCGGATTTAGCGCTTCCTCCATAACAATAATAATCCATGAAGCTGGTACCTCTCATGAAGAGGTCAGCTATGACAGGAAGTAATTTTGTATCATAATTCCTTAATAATTGAGTAGTTAGGGCGGCTAGACTTTTTCGTACAGTATCCCTGGAGTTACTATGTGTTGGTGTGGGTATAGTTTTGTGGGTGCTTCTGCATTCATATGGAGGAGACAGAGGACGTCAAAGGAAGGATAGGGGGAAAATAAATGCAAACTCAGTTTTCTATCTGAGATGTCAACTACCACTCACCCTTCCTTCACCACTCTCAGACTGTTCCATCATTCCCCTCACTTCAGTATTCCCTCACCCTCACGACACCCCCACCCTCACCACTCCCTCACGCCACTATCACCACACCCTCACCCCTTCCATCACCGCTCCCTCACCCCCACCATCACCACTTCTTCACCCCACCATCACCACACCCTCACCCCCACCATCACCACTCCCTCACCTCTTCCACCACCACGCCCTCACCCCCACCATCACTTCAAACACTCCTCTCAAAATCACTTCTCACCAAACCAGCTCCACTCCATCTCACACTACTCCATCAACACTAAGAGGATGGATGCCCGGGGTAAGTGACAAGCTCTTAACACTTGAAGATCTCTTCCTAAACCTCTTACAGCCAACTCTTTCCTCCTGGTAATTCACATTATCTCTACCACACACTCCATCAATCCTTGCAATCTGTTGCTGTTATTTACTTTCCACTCTATTATTTTCGTCTTTTATTTCTCATTATTGTGTCCTTGTACATAACGTAGGTAGTACAAGTTTATTGTGCACCCCTTAACTCTCCTGTGGATGGTAGTAGCTAGTTTATTGTGCACCCCTTAACTCTCCTGTGGATGGTAGTAGCTAGTTTATTGTGCACCCCTTAACTCTCCTGTGGATGGTAGTAGCTAGTTTATTGTGCCACCCTTAACCCTCCTGTGGATGGTAGTAGCTAGTTTATTGTGCACCCCTTAACCCTCCGTGGATGGTAGTAGCTAGTTTATTGTGCACCCCTTAACCCTCCTGTGGATGGTAGTAGCTAGTTTATTGTGCACCCCTTAACCCTCCTGTGGATGGTAGTAGCTAGTTTATTGTGCACCCCTTAACCCTCCCGTGGATGGTAGTAGCTAGTTTATTGTGCACCCTTAATCTCCTGTGGATGGTAGTAGCTAGTTTATTGTGCACCCTCTTAACCCTCCTGTGGATGGTAGTAGCTAGTTTATTGTGCCACCCTTAATCCCTCCTGTGGATGGTAGTAGCTAGTTTATTGTGCACCTCTTAACCCTCCTGTGGATGGTAGTAGCTAGTTTATTGTGCACCCCTTAACCCTCCTGTGGATGGTAGTAGCTAGTTTATTGTGCACCCCTTAACCCTCCTGTGGATGGTAGTAGCTAGTTTATTGTGCACCCCTTAACTCTCCTGTGGATGGTAGTAGCTAGTTTATTGTGCACCCCTTAACTCTCCTGTGGATGGTAGTAGCTAGTTTATTGTGCACCCCTTAACTCTCCTGTGGATGGTAGTAGCTAGTTTATTGTGCACACCGGCTTAACTACTCCTATGGAGGTAGTAAACATAGTTTTTGGGCCCCTTAACTTCTGTGGATAATAATAGCCAGTTATTGTGCGACACTAAGATTCAAACGTACCTCCATAGTTGGGTTATATAAATTCTGGCACAACATTGTGGATCTATTCTACTTCTCATGGAAAATAAAACCCGGATGGCGTAATGTTGTTGATTTCTCCATAGGGTGTGGGGATTTTACGTTTGCTAGTGGGTTTATTATATATATTGAGACGATGCATATTGGCCTCCAACATGTCCAGGGACACTCCACAATGTCCAGGGACACTCCACCATGTCAAGGGACGCTCCAACATGACCAGAAACGCTCTAGCATGTCCAGAAATGCTCCAGCATGTCAAGGGACGCTCCAACATGTTCAGGGACGCGGGTGAAACGAGAGGTTTTTCTTTTTATATGAGTGTGTGAAGAGGCACAAGGAAGCACTCGAAGTCAATATTTGGATTAACCTGGAAGTGCTCGCTGTCTGGAGATCCCAGGAGAGAAAAGAACACTGCATTGTCAATGATTTTTTTTTTTGACCTAAAGTGGTTATCGATTTTTGCCTGAGCGCGTACACACACACGAACGCACACACACACACACACACACACACACACACACACACACACACACACACACACACACACACACACACACACACACACACACACACACTCGACCCCTGCAACCACAAATAGGTGAGTACATACACACAGCAGTAAGACACACAGCAGTAAGACAAGAGAGAGAGGGGTGGGTGGATTGCATATTCTTGGACTGCAAGAAGGCGTTTGACACAGTTCCACACAAGAGATTGGTGCAAAAACTGGAGGACCAAGCAGGGATAACAGGGAAGGCACTACAATGGATCAGGGAATACTTGTCAGGAAGACAGCAGCGAGTCATGGTACGTGGCGAGGTGTCAGAGTGGGCACCTGTGACCAGCGGGGTCCCACAGGGGTAAGTCCTAGGACCAGTGCTGTTTCTGGTATTTGTGAACGACATGACGGAAGGAATAGACTCTGAGGTGTCCCTGTTTGCAGATGACGTGAAGTTGATGAGAAGAATTCACTCGATCGAAGACCAGGCAGAACTACAAAGGGATCTGGACAGGCTGCAGACCTGGTCCAGCAATTGGCTCCTGGAGTTCAATCCTACCAAGTGCAAAGTCATGAAGATTGGGGAAGGGCAAAGAAGACCGCAGACGGAGTACAGTCTAGGGGGCCAGAGATTACAAACCTCACTCAAGGAAAAAGATCTTGGGGTGAGTATAACACCAGGCACATCTCCTGAAGCGCACATCAACCAAATAACTGCTGCAGCATATGGGCGCCTAACAAACCTCAGAACAGCATTCCGACATCTTAATAAGGAATCGTTCAGGACCCTGTACACCGTGTACGTTAGGCCCATATTGAACATTAAAATGGTATAAAATACCGACAGGTTGTTAGGTAAGACACATATGCAACAGTTAGGTATCTTTATTTCGAAACGTTTCGCCTACACAGTAGGCTTCTTCAGTCGATTACATCGTCTTCAAGTATCTTCTGCTTCTATCAACTTTTCTGTACTCGATTGAAGAAGCCTACTGTGTAGGCAAAACGTTTCGAAATAAAGATACCTAACTGTTGCATATGTGTCTTACCAGGCCCATATTGGAGTATGCGGCACCAGTTTGGAACCCACACCTAGCCAAGCACGTAAAGAAACTAGAGAAAGTGCAAAGGTTTGCAACAAGACTAGTCCCAGAGCTAAGAGGTATGTCCTACGAGGAGAGGTTAAGGGAAATCAACCTGACGACACTGGAGGACAGGAGAGATAGGGGGGACATGATAACGACATACAAAATACTGAGAGGAATTGACAAGGTGGACAAAGACAGGATGTTCCAGAGATTGGACACAGTAACAAGGGGACACAGTTGGAAGTTGAAGACACAGATGAATCACAGGGATGTTAGGAAGTGTTTCTTCAGCCACAGAGTAGTCAGTAAGTGGAATAGTTTGGGAAGCGATGTAGTGGAGGCAGGATCCATACATAGCTTTAAGCAGAGGTATGATAAAGCTCACGGTTCAGGGAGAGTGACCTAGTAGCGATCAGTGAAGAGGCGGGGCCAGGAGCTCGGACTCGACCCCCGCAACCTCAACTAGGTGAGTACAACTAGGTGAGTACACACACACACACCCCTAGTAGCGATCAGTGAAGAGGCGGGGCCAGGAGCTCGAACTCGACCCCTGCAACCTCAACTAGGTGAGTACAACTAGGTGAGTACACACGCAGCACCAGTCTGGAACCCACACCTGGTCAAGCACGTCATGAAATTAGAGAAAGTACAAAGGTTTGCAACAAGGCTAGTTCCGGAGCTCAGGGGAATGTCCTACGAAGAAAGGTTGAGGGAAATCAGACTGACGACACTGGAGGACAGGGCGGTCAGGGGAGACATGATAACGACATACAAAATACTGCGCGAATATACAAGGTGGACAGAGACAGGATGTTCCAGAGATGGGACACAGAAACAAGGGGTCACAATTGGAAGCTGAAGACTCAGACGAGTCACAGGGATGTTAGGAAGTATTTCTTCAGTCATAGAATTGTCAGGAAGTGGAATAGTCTGGAAAGTGAGGTAGTGGAGGCAGGAACCATACATAGCTTTAAGACGAGGTATGACAAAGCTCAGGAAGCAGAGAGAGAGAGAGAGAGGACCTAGTAGCGATCAGTGAAAAGGCGGGGCCAGGAGCAGAGTCTCGACCCTTGCAACCACAATTAGGTGAGTACAATTAAGTGAGTACACACACACACACACACACACACAGCACTGTCATCAGTAATAGACTGTTTGTCCACGTCAGGGTGTGAACACAGGTCAATATAGAGAGGAAATTAATAGCTACGATCAGGCAAGAGAGAGAGAGAGAGAAGGGGGGAATGAACGGGTTAAACTAGTATGGAGAACAGTTAAAGGAGAGGGAGTGGGAAAGATATGAAGGGAAAAGGAAGGATGAAAGAATGGGAGGGGGAAGAAAGAAAGGAAGAAGAGGGAGTGTGGGGAGGGGGGGTGCTGGTATAAATATGGAA